GGAGACCAACTGTTTTTCGAAAGGGAGTGACCAAGCAAGCATATATTGCTATGATAAGACTGAGAAGACCAAAACAGGTGAAAGGTTATCATTCCTTGCCCTTCCTTGGAGACTCCACTTGAACCCTCTCAGGACTGGCTGAGATTTAACCACTCCTTTGACAACTGTCCAGCCCATTCACGTGGGCAATGCACCGAGAACTCAACAGGGAAGCAGGGAGTAAGAATTCCTAAATGCCCATGTTGGGAGAGTCAAGAGACCTTCTGTAACTGAAGACATGATCTATCAATCAGTTTCCTCTAGTGGAGGGCAGTGAGAGTGGGCTGGTCAATACCCATCAGAACATAGACAAAAATGAGATGAAAAATGTAGAGATGTGGAGGTCTTAAATATTTTGAGAACAGGAGAGATCAGCCACTAAAGCCAAGCAGTTTTTGAATACAAGGATGAGCATTCCAAGTGCTGGAAGATTTTTAAATTAAAAATTAATATAGGACAAGAAGGATAATGATGTATTATTGTATACTTTATATGCATATGTATAAGGCCTGTGTTATTCTTTAAAAAAGGGCAAATAGCATATGAAGAAAATGAGCAACTACAAAGCAAGATCTGGATTCACAACTGACACACCAATACAATTATCTCCCCTTCCCCCAGTTTTATTTGGGAGAAATGATTTAAAATTTCTTGAGTTTTTAATTGCGGTTTCTCAGGCATTTCTAATGGGTCATATTTCAGCTGCAGCATAGTGTCTCTAGCCTTCTATTTAAGTAATACTTTGTTTTGGTGAAGAGAACAAACATGGCCTGGGAACAGACTGCAACCTGCTCCAGGCAAATTCACAAATGTAATTCTAGGCTTTTATCTCCTGCCGCAGTCTGCTGCTGAAAAAATATATTATTACATATGTGATTATTAAGGTAATCATAAAATATGACATATTGTTTGACTTTGTTACAATACCCCACCCCCCCTCTGATTGGCAAAAAACATCTTTGTCTACATCACCTCTTTGTCAGCTCTCTGACTGGCAAAACATGTCTTTGTCATCAGTGGCATACCAGGATACTTTATCCTGGGTTTTACCCATATACTCAGGAATGTTTGACATGACTATAAATAATTCAGCGCTGACACATAGTTTTTCAGAAAGATTTAGTCTCAGTTATAATGCAAGATAAAGCCAAGTGCCTGGTAGGAAGGAAACAGTATGAGAGCCATGCTCTAACCATTTTCTTTACCTGAGTGACTAAACAGCGAAGATGGCACTTCTGAGACCATGTCTTTGTGAGAAAATGCACCCAGCTGAAAAGCTGGAACAGGCAGAGCCGGTGGAAAATCCCCGGCACAGCACACAGCCCCTGATGGGAGAGCCAGCAGCAAACAGTTAACACATTCCTGGCCCAAACAGATTTTCTTTCCACAAGTCCTGGCTTGTAGAGAGCAGGATGATCTGAGACAACGCGCTTACAGGACACATCTCTTACTGGAATGCGGAAAAGGGGTTAAAAAAATACAATCTGTGGTAAGAGGGGTGGGAAGTTTGCCTGCTCCCGGGATACAAGCAGCATGCGAAAAAGCCCAAAGAAGAGGGGCCCAAGGGGAAGTTTCTTACTCTTGTCCACAGCATCAGGGCCTCGAGACAAAAGGAATTCAAAAAAGAAAAGGAAATAATCCAGTCTGGCTTTGTCCTTCCAGCCTGATAACGGTGAATACCAAGTCTCAGCTCAAGGCTTAGGATTTGGTATTTCTGCTTGTTCCTAGGAGGCTTCCTTGACTTATGACCTCCAGAGCAGGAATCTCCTCCTGAGACCTTGACTGGTAGGAGACGGGGGCTAGCTGTCCTCGCCTGATGCCCTTTTCATCATTTCATGCCAGTCCTCAGAGCAGGAGGAACAGAAAAAGCTATTAAGGCTAGGACCACATATCTCTGGCCTCCTGCGTGACACGTAGACAAAATCCCTGTCAGCCACACAGAAGTGCCTCAGTGGTGAAGCGTGCTGCTGCATTTACAGCAACATCAACTTTCCTTCTGGAGTTCAAGGAGAAAATGCTGCAGAACAGGACTTCCCCCTTGGCTTTTTCCACTACCCTTAAGAGCAACTTGGGACAGCACAAGAGAGTGACCGTGAGAGTAATTTTTCTGCAAGGACACTGCTCCCCTGCAAACCAGCCTGTAGCACCCGAACGTGCCCGGGGCAGTGCCGTGCACTGACCCCGTACACACATGGCTGGAGGCTGACGTAAAGCACCTCTGTCCTTCCACTTGGCCTTGCGGAGGCACCTAACCTGCGATAGCTGTGCTGCTGCTCGGCCGGTCATCCAGGCTGACCCGCAGCTGGACCCAGCGCCGGTACATACTCTTTCCTGCTCGCTCTGATGCCTTGCTGGCTTTCCGCTGCCCATGTGCCAGCACGGGTCTCTTCATCAGTGGAAACCTGCTCCCTCGCCTACGTGGCCCTTGCTCCGCAAAGAGCCCAAGGAGGTGCAGGGTGCTGGGACCCTGCTGCTGCCGTGCCCCGGGAAGGCGCCGGAGGAGCAGCCCCGGGGCTGGAGCAGTGCTGTCTGGCACCCACTCTGGTCTGGTATGCAGACCAAACCAGTTACACCAGCACCGCTGTCCTCCCAGCCCCCATGCTGAGCTGGCCGGGACATGGGGAGGCCTCCAGGCAGAGAGGGGTGGGGATGGGACCTGTGGAGCTTCTATGGCTCCTTCTTGGGTGCTAGCCAAGAAGGAAAGCCACGTGGCGCCTCGACCCTCATGGTTTGGGGCCAACCGTTACAGCCACTTGCTAACATTGCAGGTTAAAGTTGTAGCATAAGCAGGGCTATGCTATAAGTACTGGTACACAGCATAATTAAGCCATCTAAAGAAACAAATGTGAAGCTCTCCATAGGGCCATAGCTATCCCTATGCCTCCCATTTTCCAAGATGAATACTGTTTTGTTTCCCTGTTCCTAACAGCCTTTTGACATCTTTCAGCCTTGGAGACCTTTCCAGTAAAATTTCCCACGTCTCCCAGCTAGCTCCCTTAGAGCTTCTCTAGCACGGACAAAAGCCCTGTCCCTGCCTTTCCTTCAGATACCCATCCTATAGGCTGGGATCACACATTGATCTCATTTTTCCTGACCATTTCTTTTGCTACCTCCCTGCCCCATCATCTCCTTCCATTTCCCTCTCCTACTGCTGTACTTTTTCGCCAGTTCCAGCGAAGGCAAAGCAGAGATTTCTGCTGTGGACTCTGTGGGGCTGCCACAAATGTGCTTCTGGCTGGGAACAAGGTCAAGAGAGAGAGAAGAGACATGAAGCCTGACTTAGCAGGCTGATGACTAGGCATTTTTTTCCAAGGCAAGCTTTTCTGAGGACTGACACAGTAGGTGGGTGGAAAGAAAATGGCTTTCAGAGAGAAACAACCAGTGTTTCACCAAAGGTAACAAGGAGCATGCATGACTGGGCCAGGCCAGGTGTGTGGCTCCAAGCCCTCTCGTACTCCTCACTCCACTGTGAGCCACACACTGGCTCCTCAGCCTGGAAGACATCTGGTTTATAATGAGTGGACTTTTCCTATCAGTTGTGTCTGTCACTGCTTTTCTTCCTCATCCTTGTGAAAGAAAATACGTTATCCTGCACTTGTGCTTACATGTGATTAGAGGTTGTCTTTCATGAGAGACTGCTGCTTGGGTCAGACCTCCTGGGTACATGTAGAGCAGATGGCTGATATGAAGGGAAAATGTCCAAAACACAGTAATTTCACACCACCAGGTCAAAGCCCTTCCCTTAAAGCAAAGGCCCCTAGCCTTTTCTAGGTCGTGATCCACTTGTGAATTTTCTACAAATATAAAAGCAACATATGCATTACTGAATGAACTAACTTTATGCCAGGCACACATTCCCACTTATAACTGGCATATTAAAGTCACAACCATGCTTTTCCACCCCTCCCCTCCATTTTGACCGTATTTAGGAAGAGAAAATCGTCCTCTGAGTATGGAACGCCACAAAATGCCAATATCCTTCGCTCATCCTTGCAACACATGTGGCAACACTGCTTTGACAACGCATCTGCCTCAGCCTGCAGCTCACCTGGTATCAGCTGTTGTGCAAGTGCCTCCTGGAAACCCCACAGTGTTTTGCCTGTGAAGCTGGCAGGGGCTGAAATTGGGTCAGGTTCTGAACGCGGATCGCCGTTTCGGTGGGCAGGGTGTGAGCAGCTGCCTGAGCCAGCGCAGCTCCAATGCTTGCCCTTTCCTTCGCACACACCACTAATCTGTACTGCTGCAGCATCCCAAGCTCTCTGGGCAAAGGCCCCCGGCGGCCAGGTGAGGAGACCTGGGGAGGGAGGTCTCAGTTTGAGTGAGCTTATCCTTGATGTGATTTGGGTTATAGCAGGATGGGAGCTAAAGCCCCGCTCGCCACCGGGGAGCTTCATCCAGCCGTTGCAGCCTGCATTGCTGGCGTGCTTGGGACAGCCCTGGCTGCCGGCGAGACAGACTGTGCAAACACCGCAGACAAAGCTTTCTCCAAGCCGTAACTTGTTGCAACACTTTCGGGGTTATAACCTAAATCTGTGGATGTGCATTGTGAAAACTGGGCAATGGAAGGGGTGAGAAATCAAACCCCATGTGAGTGCCTGGGTGGCTCCTGTGTGCTGTAATAGCCTCTTCACCTCCCTGTGCTACTTCTGTTGACCTTGACTTCAGCAAGAAGGCTGCCAGCTTAAATCAAGCACAGACTAGCAGTGCTTAGCTGTCAAATTCCAGTCGGTGACTGCTGGCAGGCTGAGCAAAATGAGTTTTAGGCCTCAGTGGTTCACATCTCACTTGCAATGGGCCCAAATTAGCTGTTTGGTTATGGGGCTGAGATCTGAACAGGCAACTGAAACTGCTCTAACCCAAGGGAAAGAGCAAGGATTTGGGAGGCTCTGGCATAACTGCCTGCCTTGCCACAAACCTGCCACGTAACCATGCCCACGTCACCTAGCTTTTAGCCCCCTCACCTTGCTTCCCTGACGTCAGAGTAGGCACTGTTTCAGCAGGGTACTGGGGGCTGGTACTCGGAGGCCTGTATGAAGTGTGGCCGTTATAGATGACGGGTGCCCCAGAAGGGTCCACAAGCAAGAACTGAGGAGCACGAACACCGGCCCCTTTCCCGCAGGACTCCACCTGCACTCCCATGGGTGCAAGGCCCTAGTCCACCTAGAGCAAATGCAGGACAGGGATGTTTGCTCCAGCCCTGCCTGTTTTCCATACCCTGTGGGTAAGACAAAGCTTCAGGCTCCAGGGCTGTGAACAAGTTACTCTCGTTAATGCTAAATTTGCTTTAAAAGCAGCATCATCAGGTTTTTTCTCACCTCCTCCCTCCCCACAAGAACACGAAGTGCCTTTCAGGTAACAGGCCATACCCAAGGATTCCTCAAGATGTTAACACAGGAAATCCCGGCTTAGAGAAGGCTGCTGTTGTTAGGACAACACGTATCACAAATGCTTCCATTGCTGCATGCTCTCTGCCTGGTCCCAACCACTCTCCTTATGCTTCACGGCCTCTCTCCCACTTGACAGGCTGCAAATGAGGTCAACTGCTGTGGAAATGGTTTGCGGCACTTTTTTCTGTATATAATAAAAAGCCCCAAATGAAAGCATTTCTCAAGTCAGCACTACATGAGCAAAGATGCCTAAGCTGCAGTGTTGAATTAAAGGTGGTGTTGATCAAACTGCTGCAGTTGACTGACTTTGCACGGACAAACCAGGCCAGCGAAGTCTGTGAGCCATTCATCTCTGCAAGGACCCAGATGCCCTCCTCTCACACATCTGAACGGCAGATGCGGCTAATGATAATTCATGACTTACATTTGCACGGTGCGTCCATTCCATAGCAGCTTTCTAGCTGAAAATAGCAAGGCTACACATTTGGCCCTGTACTGCTGTCTGGTGAAGGAGAAGGGTGTATATAACCTACCAGATATGCAACTAGAGGGCACGGAAGAATTGAAGGAAGGGAAAGTAAGTCATAACATCTGGGACGTGGCTAGTGTACAAGGTTAACACAATGCAAAGAAAAAATAAATCCACGTGATTAGAACCAGTACATAAAGCGTCCAGACCTCGCGACTACACATCTCACTGAAGACATGGCCGGTAGCACAGATTTTTCTAGCATTGTGGGGGCCTTTCCTGCTTCAGATATGAGGTTGCCACCTACTGACCCATCGTCCCTACTTTGGGCAATACGCTAGATCCTGACCCTCCCTCCCAAGACTCTCCACTCCCCTCCCGTTATCAGCAAGACTCCATTTAGTTTATAATATCTGATCAGATTGCAACCAGAGGTCATATAACTGTACAGACCATTAAGCACCAGTTCACTTGGGCAGAAGCAAATGGCTCCATTATACTGAAGTCCCATTACACACGCAGCTCACCTTAAGCACCAGGATATCATCTGAGCAAGGCAGTGAAGGCAATAAAAATGCAATCTGCCCAAGACATGGTTCTTGCTGGGGAGATCTGGATGTGGAAAGCATTTCCAGGTACTTCCAGATCTGTGCTGCTTAATGTACAATGGGAACACATTGCCAGCAGCTAGATTTACATGTCTGGGACTAGAATATTTGGACACGTGCTGTTGGTTTGTGGTACCCTGCCCCTACTTGCCAAATGCAGAGAACAGGCTTTTAAATGACTTCTCATCCAAATGCGTATGAAAAAGTATCCCTGCTGGAAACTTCTCACTGTAGCACAGTTCTGTTTGTGCTGGAAAAGCCAGCTATCACCACCCAATAAACCAGAAGAGTGATCTTGGAGGGATTCTTCTCAGCAAATGTCCAAAAATAGCAGATATTGCAAGAGGGGAGAAGGTCACGTAACACCCGTGCTACAACGCTCTTCTGAGTCCTGTTCGTTACCTATGACAAGCCGGCCACTCCTTTTTTGCTGCTTGCGAGGCAGTTTCTAATTCACGTAGTCTTTCTTCAGCCACTGTTTTGCTGAGTATCTCACGCATTTTTTGAGGCCCAGTTTTCCTTCACAGAGCTGGGGTAGCCACACTGGGCTAAAATCTGTGCATTTCCGAGTTTTCTCTCTCATTTCAGTCACAGTCTCTGCCTCTGACTCAGACTGGTGTTTCTGATAGGATCCCAGAGAGGGAGGAAATAAGAATAAATAGCATCATGCCCTCCTCACGTGGGTTGCGGTGCAGAGCTGAAAGAGAAGATGAGGAAGAGCCTGGGCTGGCGAGGGAGGGGTTTCAGCTGAAACTAACCCACATTTTGAGGATTCCTCCACTCTAATGGGGCACTGAAACAGGGGTATTACCAGCCTCTCCTCCTCTCATACCGGGACCCAAACTGGCTATTACTAGTTCCTAACTATTGGAAGCGTGAGCTGTCTGTCTTAACCTCCCAGAGCTGGCGACAAAGCTGCCCTACGAGGGAATTAATGCCATCGGGCCCAACGAGGGCAGGTTAGCATGGTAAAGGTCATGGACACGGGGCACCCAGCCCTGACCGAGGGTGATGCCGTGTTTGCTTCTCTCCAGAGAGCGGCATTAAGGAGAAGTCAAGCACAGGCCACTTCGAAAGAGTAACGCTTTGAAACAGTGGCGGAAAGCTAAATAGCTTTACTGGCAAGGAGGGATAGAGAGATTAAGGATTTTGACGATAAACAACTGATCCTCTGACCTGATTCAAAACCTGGTCTGGTGACAACGGGTGGTGACTCAGCCTCGGAGGACTGATTAGTACGCTGCATGCCAGGATATGCTGGCCTCAATCTGGTTCTTTAGAGATACCTGTATGATGAAAAGCTCCTTTTATCTGGCACATATTGAGAGTTTTAGGTGGCCACTAGGCTGAAACTGAGTCAGCCACTTACTGTTACAGTCAGTACCTTTCAGCCAGAAAGGCCTGATGGTATCCCAACCGTGGATTCCTTGGTATCCCAACAGAGGCAAGCTGGGATGACAAGCCACACACATAGAGTTTTGTGAAGCTCCCCTTAGAAAGGCCCCATGTGCATGTGGATGTCCTCAAAATGTTATCAAATGCTTTCCTTAGGTGCCTACGACTTCGTTCCTTCGCTCCTCAGGGTGCTGCAGCTTTTAATAAAATACTTTCCTGCCTCACTGGTTTCAGATCTCATTCTTTGCCTCCACCAAACAAGGTACAGCTACAGGGGCAATGTTCTAACTAGTAAAGCTCAGTGTTGCATTTGCAGCTTATTTTCTCAGATAGTAATAATAAGCCACACCAGTAAAAGGCCTCCTGTTGCTGCTTTTGCCTCTGTCACTGCATTTACATTAAAGCTTGTGCTGATTGCAGTTGACTGGTGGGAGGAGAGTGAGAGAAGAGGTATTTTCTGCATTCCTAATAGCTCTATAATTTCCTAGTACAAGATAAGGCTAGGTCATGTCATTGATCTCTGTAACGCAGGACATCCCAGGGCAGATGGGAGGTAGATAGAGGGAGGCTGCCCATTCTGGGCGAGGGACAGAGCCTCGCAGAAGAAAGCAGAGCAAAAGCTCACACAGGACTCAATCCACACCAGGAGATCACTTTCCTCATTTCAGCAGAGCTACTATGGTGGAGATGAGCTCTCGTATGAGGAAGGAACAGCTGTTTTTAATTGTGTATGTTCATTAATATCTCTTTGATTGAAAGGACAAAATAAACTGTTGGAAGGAAAGAAAGTCCCAGCTACTTCCTCTAAGAATTCAGAGTCCATCAGGTAACCATCCTGAGTCCACCAAGAAAGACCTCCAAGAAACAGACTCAGTGTTTGTAGATAGAAAATAATTTTCAAAAACCTAAACATTTTCAAACTTTCCCTATATGCCCTAATGCAACAAAACAAGAGGAAATTTCTCCTTGTTTCCAGATGACAATTCTTTGTCTCAAAATGGGAATGAAACAGGGAGAGGAAAATGAAATACAGTACATTGGGAAACACTGAATGTAATATTTACCTGTCTTGTTATGTCTTTTTTCTTTCGATACTCTCTGCCATTTAAGCCTCTTTCTGCTGGTTAGCTTTCTGCCTGAGTTTATGCACAGCAGATCCTGACTCTTGACTTGGGAGCCACAACTGTGGTATATTCTAGTTTTGCCAAGGCCCGCCTGCGGAGAAAGAAAAGGAACAGCACGTCATTTTACACCTTCACCTCATTCTTCTTGGGCTTTTGCTATCTCAGCTTGTTGCACCTCACAGTTTGAACAACGCTGCTTGGCAGCCCAGTGCAGCCATGGGTCAGGCACGTGCTCTCAAAGGGATTTTCCCTCTGCTCTTACATGGGCATCTGGGTGTCTCCTGGTTTACATAACTGATGAGAAACATCTGGGGTTTAAAATTCCTAATACCTCAATTTGTTATAGAAGTAAAACACACGCTTGTTGGATACGGATGCTGTTTGCAGCTTACACCACTTGTTGAGTCAGAGGGAGGAGGAAGAGAGGAGAGGCTGGGTTAACCTGTGCAGTTCTCTGTCCCAATTCTTTTGATAATGGTCCCGAGCAGCTGACTGCACCCTTCCTGAAGTACACGGAAAACACCAGGAGACTGCTTTCTGCCAGCCCAGCGGAGGCTCTCTGTGTGCAGAGGAGGGCACGTTTCAGAGAAGTATTTTTAGTGCCGGGGAGCTGACAGACCTGAAGAGGGAAGGCACCTCTCCAGAAGCTGAGCTGGATGAGTGCGGGGCATCCATCCACTGCATCCCTCTGCCAAAGCGCTCCCAACCTGGAAGGGAGCTGCTTCTTGCAGAGGTGAGTAAGCTGCTTGCCTGCCTTCCTAGGCTCCCCCTTCCCCAGTGCCTCTCCACACGGCCGCAAAGCTCCCTGCCAGCTTTTGGGCCATGCGTACCCGTCCAGCAGGAACCCAACCCAGCCCAGCGAAGCAGGAGGTGTCCCCACGCCCCTGCAGCCGTGGGCGGCCACCCTCGCTGCCCCCGGCCAGCCCGTGCAAGGCTCCCACCAGAAACCCAGCTCTGGGTCACTGACTATCATCCACCCCTTCCAGGAAGACAGTTAATTTTTTTTAATATGGTTTCTATTGTTCAGGAGATTAAGGACGTAGTTGAGGCTTGTGGCATTTTTCCTCTGGGATCTAATTAGGGAGGAGGAAAAATGAATCTGTATATTTATTAACCCTTCCAAATCCAAAATAAGACATAAGAAAGGCCCCAGCAG